CGGGCGATCTATCATTAACGTCGACATTTTGAAGAGCAATTTCGGAACCTCAATTCGGAGCCAAATTCGAGACAATAACTTTAAGTCTTATTGTCTCAGGAATTTCTGTTGGAAATATAAATCTCGGCTAATTCAATAAGTCAGCTAAGTTAGTTACGTAAATTTGTGAACTAGCGATATCGTGGATCGGAAGTTATGGCCGGGATTTTAAGACAAAGTCCCTTCCGTGGCTCCAGAAACTCTCAGTTTCGAAGCAAGTTTGCAAGTTAAATAGTGCTAAGTTGTACATTTTGCCGCAGGCTTTTGTTCATTGTAAAAAACAAACTTCGTCGAGCTCGTTCCATGTAAATAGTTTTTCCATTTTTTCTTTTACTCCAACTGGATAACTATGGACTGGAGATAAAAATTGAATCGCGTTCGTATTTAACTTTGCATTGCACTGTTTAGTTTCCCAGTAATCATTCTCGGAGTTTAGAGATCTTTTATTTTCTGTATTGCTGCCGAGTGTTTACAAGATCTTTTTGTTTGAACGGGCAAATGAGCTGCCATTTCTTATTTTCTGTTGTTGCAAGAACTGATGTAGACAAGAATATTACAGAACACTGATGTTTGTTAGCTTTATTTCATTTTAACATAATCTGTATTTTTTAACTTGAATTATTGTTAATTATTCTGAACAGCAGTCTAGTCAAGAAGATGACTGGTAGCGGCAGAATAAAAAAGCAGGAGATCGTGCTTTGTGATGTTTCTTAGTATTACGTCCAGTAGTGAGCTGTCATGGGCTAGAAATAATGATGACTATGATAGCCGAGATCCGTATGTATTTCTTATTAAGTTATGCAGCTGTAAAAGCCATCAAGATACTCGTACTAGCGACTTTACATTAATTTGCATGTCACTCAGATCGCCATATATTCACACACTACAAAGGTTCATTCAGAACCATAAACTTATCAGTTTCGTACCACTGCCTCCTTGTAGACTTGCTCTAAGTCACAAGGTTGCTAATAGCAAAATGTGGCATGAAAATTTAAGCAGCCATGTCAAAGTAAATGGACCACGATATTGCCTCAGTTAGCCTGTTCCTCACTAAGTGCATTTTATAGTGGACCTATTAAACTGAGGGACAAAAGCTGTGACTTTTTCAAAGGAGCCTAATATTGATAAATTAATACATTTTATATGGATTCCTTTTTGAAAAATAATCACACAAATTGAGCTTGAAAAAGAAACACGATTTAAACGTAAAGTTCGTAATTACATAATGTAGAAATTAATTCTGTCTCAAGTTACTTACTAGACTGTCTGTACTTATCAGTGATTGAGAGCTTTTTAATCGTCTTATCATAATTTATTTTGGGTAAATCGTGTTCTAATTATATTCCTTCATCTTACATAATTGGGTTTATTTCCATCCTATCCCGGTATAAGTTCTTTATCATACTTACGTTCGACCCTTTGCTTTTACTATCAAACGTTATTTACTTAGCCAAGTTGCCCGGTCTCTGTGCAAACAGAACCTCGCAAAGGGTCTGTGTATATAGAACTGAAATTTATATAAGATAATAAATAAATTCCGCCTCATTCTATGAAACAATAAACTAAACCCCAGCTCCGAAATAATCCAACTTCGTAATCCGGTGACGTACTCGAGATCAAATTTGCTTAACGACTGAAGATAATACCGGCAATACTGAAAGACGGTAACGATTATTTAAGAAACACAAAGTTAAACCTAAATCTTGAAACAATGGCTGAATGGGCCATAAGAGCCAGGCTAAGTAAAGATAAGAATATACAAGCCGTGACAGTTCAAAGAGAAGGCAAATTTATCAAAAGGTTACGCGACGCTTACAGTCCGACAAAGGGCTATGTAAATTAATTTCACGGACCTTTTGCTTTGCATCTGAATAGGCGCTTGAAGAAAGGATCGAAGCACTCCAAATTTCTAAGACAGTTTATTATAAATTCGCATAAACGTCTCGAAATGTAGACCTGAAATTAATTTTATTGGGAAACTCAATTGGCGTGAGAGAGGGAACAATTCTATTGATACTTTAGCCAAAGGTATAGTACTCGAGGGGTTGATGGGTAAATATCGAATATTCCACAATCAAGTGACAAGATTATAATATGATTTTGAAGAGGGCAATGGAAAGGTCGATTTCTAAACAATGGAAGACTCGGGCAATAATAATACTTGAATATTCGATTTCTGTTAGGAAATGTTAACTCAAGTCCATAGCCAAAACAATTTAGGAGACCTTCCCCCAACTTATGTAAAACTCTTGATTTAAAACAGAATCTTGTAATGAGATCACGTTATGATAAAAAAGCAACCGTCAACTGAATTGCTTACCCGAACATGAAATATTAAATATTTAAAAGCAAACTTCTCAAAATACAAGATCAAAATTACAAAACATGAAAAGGGAAGCAAAACGTAAAAGGGTAAAAGAAAAATTAAAAACAAATTATGTTGCCGAACAAGCGAAATTCAGTATTGAGGAAAGGGGTGATCTTGAAAAAATATCTTGTAAGGCCTTTTACAAGTCGAGCTCTTTAAAGATACATTGAATATATTTTGCGAGGCTATTATTGTAGGTGATTTATGATCTTTGGGACATGCGAAGCTATGTAATTAGATGGTATCACATTGAAAGTTGTATCACACGCCATAATTTTCTAACAAAAGGAGTACTTAAACAGGGATTTCTGGCAGTAAAAATGGATCATGGATTTTATTAGCATGAAATTAAATAAAACTTTTGTTTACACTAAACAAGCCTTGCACTAGTTACTAGGGAGTGAATTTTGGTCTTATTAACGTAACGTTAATCAAGATTGCAGATCACTAAAAAAGCTTGGATTGTACCATCTCAATAGTCTTCATAACTTGCTAAACAAAGTATGCTTACCATCAACACATTTAAATCCTTGAAAAGGGGAAGAGGCAAAAGCGATCCTCATTGGAATTTTGATTTGCCAGCATTCGTTACATTTATGTTTTCAAACGAGATAAAAAGAATGTGAATCTAAAACCTATATCCAAAGCTATATCTAAAACCTATATAGTGTTCAGATTCGTATGAAAGAGTCAGCTCATTTTCCCTTTTCGTATTTGTTTAGTCTGCAAACACCCTAAACTGGGCGATACTGAAAAAAATCACCAAAGTAACAGCCCGGAAGGGGCAAAGGAAGTATGCTCAAAGATTTTTCAATTTATTAAAAAGGAAACAATACGTTGTACGAGAAAGAAATACCTAGTGACTGGTGTCGACGAAAATATTGCTTTCAATTTGTTAAAGCACGGAATGCTGCGAAATGAACTGAAAGAAATATGTGTTGGTGTTTTTATTAAAAGATCTGAAGAGAAAAATTGGCTTGATAATCCTAGTGTAATCTAATATGATTATGATGATGAAGATGGATTTAATAATGATTATCATCAGCATCCTGCAATTACTACTACAGTCTCCAATTAAAATCCTAAAGGATCCCATGATGGTCTCGATTAAGATAAATCTGATGGAACCGATAATATCAAGCTTTTTTTTTAACTACGATGCAGGTTCATCATTTATATTTTTTCAATTTAATTTATACGCAGATTTTAGTATAAGAAATTACTCGTACTCGTATGTTGTAATAAAAACATTTAAATTATTCTTTATAAAAATAGAAATTCGAATACATAAACCGAATTAATTGAAAAATCGAGATACTAGACAAGAGAAAACAAAAAAGAAAGAAATTTCGTGGCTAAGTTTCCACGGCTAAGGAAACATAATCTACTTAATTCTGGGGGTTTATTTTGTGTTGAGATACACAGTGTGTATTACACACACAGGATAAATTTACCAATCTTTTGAGCACGTCCAATGATTTATTGTTTAAAATTATACTCTGTGGCTTCCACTGTACAACACGGCTGGCGTTAAAAAACTAAATTACTGATATTTCAGGTCAATTTCGATGCATTATTTATTTTTGAGTAAAACAAGGTTTCGCCAAAAGTATTGGTCTCAAAAATTATATGGTCCGATATAATAAGAAGGTCCAATTTCGTACACCCCTACAAAGATAATCATGTAAGAAATTAATAAGGTTAATCAAAGTTTCTTATATTTTTGTTTTTGCTACTTATCTTCCAACTTTGTAATTTTGCAAAACTCAACTTTAACACCACTTAAACAAAGTTTTAATTTACTAAACAGTTTATTCCGTGATAAAGCAAAATACATTAACACAAAGAGATAATTCCAAACGGTCTAAATTAGTTTCGTTAAAAGTACCCAACGTACCGTGTTGTAAACCCACTAATAAAGATTAGAACGCAACAAAACAAACACCCTGTATAGCAATATGTTGGAGCCATTAAGTTTAGTTAGATCCAACCCTTATTGCGTACATTATAGGGATTAAACCAACAATAATAGCTTTACATTAGGGAGGTGCTGTTATCGATAATAATAATGGTGATTGTCGATAAAGTTCTAAATTTTCAAGTGAAAATGTAACAGTAACTTAAACTGCTGCTTTTAACACTTATTTCATTGTTTGAAATACCGTTGACATTTTTCATGTGGTTAAGTTAATATTGAGGCTTTAGGAAAAATACGTTCTATTTCAGTGTCACTGATAGTAGAATGTAATTATATTAAAGACCCTTGATCATATTATACATATTATTGGTCGAAAAGAGACAATTAAGGAATTCTTTGTAATTAGGAATTAACAATATTATTATAAATTATGTGATTTGGAAGATTGAACTTTTTTGGGACTGAATTTAATTTCATCATAAAATCTCTAACAATCTTACGCCCGTATTCACAAACATTACTTTGAGATCTCACAGTGCGCGTGGACGCACAGGGTGACACACGAACACAGAGCTCTATTCAACTTCAAACAACAGCTTCACTTAAGCAAGCATCGTTTGTGAATACGGGCGACATCTATCGACACCGTCACAGTTACATCACTAATCAACAAACCTCTGCTCCCGGAGCTGACTTGGCACTGGTACTTGGCGTCATCCTCCAGTGTTACATCTCTGATGTCCAAGGAGTAATCCCCTGCAACAAACACGTCGTCACTCACAATCAGAGGCAAGCCTTGGCTTTGGATGCCAAGGAACAGGACGTACAATATGTTACAAGCGTTGTTCATAGATGTGACTATGATGTGGTTTTGGTGAACGATTTAGTTCAAAATATTAAACTTAAGTTCAAAGCTTGAGTAAATTTTTAGGACCTCCATCCCTATAGAATAGGTATTAGGTAATACTTATAGATTTTGTCATTTAGAGAAAAGAAATTGTATTTCTTTGACTAGACTCTAGAGTATTCGATATGAAAGGTACTGTAAAATGACGTTCAATATCAAGATTTTGAACCACAAAAAAAGGTCAATCTACCGCAAAATTATGAACTCTTTCTTAATTTTTTTCTGTTCAAAATTTTGTTACTAATAGTGATGATAAAATTTGGAAACCAAATTAACAACAAAACTTCTAAAATATTATGACATAACGCCTTCAAAATGCTATGCTTGTAGAATTATTTCCTGCAATCTATTGCCCACAAAACAATGAAAGGGACTCGTTGACGGGAAACTGGAAAATCTTAAATCCATCCTGAGCGCTTACTGTGCATTTTACGCCGAGAACTCCGCGTTAAAACGAGAAACGTTGTAAGAGAGATCTTGGAAAAAATTAAGCTGTTACATAGCATGTATAAAAGAGTAAGCTGCGGTAGGATTGGTCCCATAAACTTTTAATTATACCTGACAGTTAGCTGTCTTGGACGCTAAACAATTACAATCAATAAATGGCTAGAAAAAATTAAAAAATGTTGTTGATTTATCTCCAACGTTTGACTATGTTTCTCTATGTATTGCTAATAAAAAAATCAAAATGGGTCAAAGTTATGGGATCGATTAATTTTACTTTTGTAAAAGTCAACTAGAATTAAAGTAAAATACACCACGACTTTGGATTCTTTGAAAATATTCACTATTAGACAAAATAGTTTTAGCATACCGCAGGGAAGCATACTAGGCCCAATACTATTTCTTATTTTGAATAAATTTTCTTCCAAGATCCAAGAATTGAAAAGCGGGTCTTCTATTCCTCTCTGCTTTGTGGCCAAGTCAAGTGTTCTGACGCAAAAAAGGTCTGGGGATAATGACGGAATTAATTAGGTAAGAGGGGAACGGCAAAAACGTAAGGATTTTGTCAAAGTATGTCTTCATGGTATTATGAATGTGTTTTGGATATGAGTGGGTGAGCACGTGTAAGGGGAAGGAAAACCACATGATCGTACAAGTATTCAAGTGTTGTTAATTGCTGATGATTTGGTAGATTATTGTGTGTCTAATACCGTCAAACATGAAGGTTATTAGAGCCTTAATTAGCAAAGTTAATAACCCAGAAAACATTTATTCTGATAATTATTGAGAATCAAAGCTACACTGTTCCATGAAAAAAAATTATATCTATTGTGTTACAGAAATTAAGCCTAATGTCGTGACATCCGTGAATCCGTGACAGCTTGACGTGTCAAGCATAGTCATTGTTGTGTTTTTTTACAGTTAAGAGCAAGTTTAGTCTTGAAATTCTTCAGAGGTTGAGGATTCCGAGTGAAACTCACTTCCAGCTTTGGCCTGGGTACACCCCAATAGTCCACCGGCGGCAGGATTCGAACCCGCGTTCCTCGGATCTCGATTCGGGCAGTCAACGACACCATTGGACTATATAGATCGTTTCATCCACGAAGACGCGCCCCACTATTCTTCCGCTAATGTTTGAGTATTATCGGTACACGCTAAATTATCCATGGCTGGACACGCACACTACAATAATGACGCATGAATGAATGGATCTTGTCGCTTTGTTCGTCGAGAAAAACATTATTTTGTGACATATTGATGTTCTGTCCACTCTACAATAAGACTAAGTAATACTATAGCAAATAGTTACCTTCTTCATCACTCCCGATCATCTTGTATCGGTCGTAGCCACTCAGCTCCCTGTGCAGACCAAGTCCAAAGTCGTCTTTCGTCCACTGCAGCTGACCTGCCTTGTTCTCCACCCTGCAGGGCAACGTCACCCTTGATCCTACTACCGCCGTCTGGAGATAAAAAATCAAGTTTTTAACACTATAAATAAGAATGAGTTGCATCACCTAACTTTGACCGTAACTATAACGATAACCTGTGCTTTTTGTATAGTGTTTGACAGATCTTTGACGTTTGTTAAATTCAAATTAAGATGGTGCAAACCAGCCTAAGAGAAGCAAAAGAAGACATGAAGAAAGAAGAAAACAACATCCATGAGGGTCCCGTTTTTTAACATTTAGCTACAGAACCCTAAAAAGTGAGTTGAGAATTGCCTTCTTGTCACAAAACCGAAGCCCATGGCAATAGGGTGGCAATTAGTATTATTATGACACATGACAGAAAAAGCTAATAAAATTAAGTAAGAGCAAGTTACTGCATAGTTAGTTATCTTGCACTGGTTGGGTTTTTATTAGCGGTCAAGCTGTAGATCCTGGCTACACAGGAGATGTTCAGTTCTATTCCAGATGTAGGTACTTGAACATCAGGCTAAACATTTTAAAGCAAAATATTTATTTATTTTCTAACTTCCTAGCAGAGCCGTCATCAGAGGCAGCCAGAGTAGTGATAAACTTTGCTATTTCTAGTCTTAAGTTGATTTAGATACTAAGTTTTTTGTTATGATGGAGCTGACATGTTCGACTGTATCGATCTAAGCTCCTAAATAAAATAAAGAGAAAAAAAAAAAACAAAGTTTAGTTTGATGTAGAGAGAGTATCCCCATTTCATTTATATTGACCTAATTTAGCATGATATTTGTTTAGGTAAATAATTTACTATGAATAAACACTCAACTGGTCTACTTGATTAATATTTGGAATTCTAGTCAATAGTTAAATCATGTAAAAGTTTTCAGTATGTAATTAGAATAATTTTATCAGATATGCTATGATTTGTTGTTTTTGGTTTTCGTGAAAAAAATAGGTAAGCTCAAGCAAACTCTGGCACCATAAGTTGTAAATAAATACGATGTTGTAAGAAGAATCTATAGATCTAGCTCTTACTCAGTCAGTCTTTGTCAGTGCCTGAGGTATAAGAACGGCACGGGAGGTATGATATTGACATAATAATAATTATGACTTAACAGAAAGCACACATAAGTCTCGCTGACATTTGACGTCACAAAAACATCCTCCAGTGCCGCTCCCATACTTCAGTTAGGTATGTGCTGGCCACTAATTTAACTCAGTGGCTACAGTACATCAAGGACAAAATAAAGTAACAAAAGTCCTTAACCCTTAAGGCTTGGTATTTCTTCTAAAGTAGGTATTTCGCGCTGTCAAAATCTGCGCGCGCAATTCTTCGCCGAAAACAGCGCGTCAAAGAGCTCCCGCCACAATTTCCAGCTACACAGTATAGAAATACGCAGTTGGTTAGGTTAGGTTGACTTCCTTCCCTTCAAGCGTCACACTCACAACACTTTCTAATAGAAATCATATCCAAGTGATACAAATTAAAACACCTTTCAGACTTTTTGAGAATATATTCTAGAATCGAATAAATATAAAATATAACTGCAGAAGTAAACACTGTTCAAAGTGGCCGTGGCGTCGCCCGACCTTCTGGAAGTTCTGCGCCGGCTTAAAGAATTTCAAGATTACGTCACCCGACCTATCGGTAGGCCCTTGGAAGCTTGAGCGATTGGATTTTTTTTTTATGATAAGTTACTCTTAGTAGCGATTATTTAGAGCTTGGATAATAAATTTAATTATAGTTGTTGCAATTCACGAAGCTTTGCATGTGGTTAATAACATTAATTTTAGCTTTCTCCAGTAACACTGGTATTATTATACTGTGACTCATCAAAGTCATCATTGTCAAAAATATTGACAAATCGAGAACTGTCACGGCCAAAAAACTGGCACGCGTCCGTCCTCCGTAAGCGCCACCGCGCGACTGATTGAGATTGTCCAAGCCGTCATGGGCGATTTTTTCCACATTTTTTAACATAGTAACTAAATAAGACGCAATATAAAAATTTCATCCGTTAAAAGCCCTCAAGTTATTTCTGAACTTTAGTTTAGTAAAAGATTCAGAATCTCAAATCGTTTATTTTAAAAATAAAACCATTATTAGAAAACGAATAGAGGTAACTTTGGGAATTTATTCTATCGAGTCAACTTCATCAAATCGTGTTTCCATCCGTTAATAGCCCTAGAAAATATCCTCAACTATGCCCAAAAAAAATCTTAGCCTTTTATTTTACTGTTTAGTACCTCAAAAATGAAAAATGAAAACCTCATTTTCGCCATTTTCTCTGTTACCCGGCCTTAAACACAAAAGGTAACAATAATGTACTCAGCGGCAACAAAGCAACTGCCATAAAATAATAAGTAATTACAATTAACGACCGCAGAATACCTTTGTAAAGTACAACGGATAGTTAAATAGCCCATTTCAGTTTCTAACTAGTTGCTATTGTATAAAGTTGCCGAGTAAGTTTGTGAATACACACTTATACGAAATATCTATACGAATATATGTACGTATAGTTGTAAAGTGTGACTTAATGGGACGTGTCAAGACTTAATTTAGATTTTGTTTTGTCTAAAATGGCGATGCTTCTAGTGTCTAGACTATTTAGAGATTTAGATTGGATGGATTTACGTTTTGTTCAAAACTTTGAATTTAGCGAAGCGAATACGAACTCGAATAGAAATAATACTTGGATTTCGTATTGTAAAATGGAAATTGCAATTTTGACTCTTATATTATGCTTGTATTAAAATAGAGGTGCCATTGTTATGTTCAAATGATAATTGGGTTTCAAACACAGTAACATTTATATGAAAGAACAATTTTTAACAGTTATTATAAATTGTTCACTTGGTGAATTGACAGCCACAGGATTCGATCTTAAAGCTTGTTGCTTACCTGGTTACCACCAGGCTGTTAAGACAATGGTTAACCTGTCGATTTGACGTAGATAACCAGTGTCTTTTCAAAAAGTCATTTTATCATGCAATTTTTTAATAATAAAAATAAAATTACCTGATCCTGCGGCTCCATAGCAAACTTCTGTTCATGATAACCACCACACTGTTCAACAACACCAACTAACACTAGCACACTAAAAAACGCACTATGGGTCCGTAACAGCAGAAATAATGGTTTAACACCCCTACTCGTCACTTTTAACCGCAAGTCCCTCATGCTTTCACTATTCCCGCTACACTAAATGTATAACATAACAAGGATATCCGGACTATTTTTAACATTCACATTTTGTCCGGATATTCAGCTCCCCCCGCTGGATAGACCGTCCGATGCTATTTCAGGGTTAACACGGAACGTTGGCGCCATCTTATTTTTAGTGCAGATGAGTTATAGAGGGCGCTGCTTGATTTATTTTTCTTTCCTGAAACAAGAGAAGATCGATTAGTGTGGGTTGAAATAAAATATAGATGTTTATTTATGGAACATGTTTGTGGAAGTGAAATGGTTAACTGCTTATCAATATTTAACTTTGAAAATACTTGTTAAAACCAATTAAAACAGTAAAATCGGTTCTCTAGAAAATACATTTTGTTTTGAAAGTAAAATGTGTAGTTTGCAAACAATTTTATATTGCTAACTTAAATAAAACTAGCCGTTCCACGAAACATTAAATTTGTATTCAGAAAACTATTCTCATAAAGAAATAACTTTGATATAAACCTACATTTTAGTGCGAATACTTATTTCTAAACTTTAAAACGTGTGCTGTTATGGACGTACTTTATGTATACTATACTAATATTATAAAGCTGAAGTGTTGCTTGTACGCGCTAATCTCAGGAACTACTGGTGCGATTTGAAAAATTATTTTTGTGTTGGATAGCCCATTTATCGAGGAAGGCTTATACATAGATAATTATAACATCACCTTACAGCCAATAGGGGCGGAGCAGTAAAGAAAAATTTTGCAAAAACGGGAAATATGATTCAAACTATTTTCACCCGTAGGAAGTCGCGGGCACAGCTAGTTTTATTATACGTTAGAAAGTTTAAATAGCAGTTGAAAAGTTATAGTAGTTTAGTGAAATGGAATATAATTCCTAGAAATAGACTGAAAATACATACTAGAATTTGTAGATAGGTATTTATGATTATAGGTTTGAATAGGTAATAGCTTGAAAGAGACATAATAACACACTAAATGATAGCTGAAAATTAAAATTACACGTTAATGTCATAAAAAAACTCATAACTAATTTATTTTTGTAAAAGCACTTCTACACGTCCCAGTATTAACCCTACCACTGCTTCGGGACAATAAATGGGCCAGTGCTGAGAAGAAGCAGCGCAAGAAAAGCCCGTATTCACAAACGATGCTTGCTTAAGTGAACCAGCAAATCGAATGCACAGCGTTGAATTGAGCTCTGTGATTGGTTCATGTGTCAACCTGTGCGTTCACGCGCACTGTGAGACCTCATAGTAATGTTTGTAAATATGACAGTCACTATCCACGGAATAAAGCGCTCATGTTAAAATTACTTTTAAAGCAAAAATAATCTTCATAGTTAAAATATTTATCTCCATAATGTGTATCTATTAAATGTACACTTTTATACGCGTTTAAAATTGCAGTCATTTCATTATAAAAGTCATCAAAATTTTATTCATCATAAACCAAATTACCTTTTTAACCTTTAACCGACGACGTGCGGTCTCACAGACCGCTCCAGTTTTTGAAATTTCTGGATTGCAATGTTCTACTTATTCCCGTGTCCCGAGCGTCTCAGTACCTTCGAATTAAGTTGCCCATACGCCATTACAGTTAGTGGTTACATCGATGAGGGCAGTTTTAATAAGATAATTCGATTTAAAGTTTAACAGCGGTCTGTGGGACCGCACGTCGCAGACTACGTAACATTTTTGTACTATACTAAAAGTTGCGTTTTTGTTTTAAACAACAGATTTTTTGTTAAAATGATGGATCCCGGGCCATCACAACTTAGAAAAAGACATTTCCCAATGGTCTATTGATATTAGGACATAATATTATGTAAAATATGGTAGTATGTAAAAAAATACCGCGGAACGGGTAGTAAAGCAAACAGTGACATGTATTCTAGGTTCTGACAGGCCTGGCTCACTCCGCGCGGTACATCCGATAATTACCTACAGCGAAGCGCCCCGCCGGCGGGTATTATATCAGTCGAGTGTCACGCGCGCGCTCGTCAGGACGCTGGCGCGTGGCGTGCGTTGTAGTAGTATGATTATTATTCTATGATCGAAGTATTATTTAAAAATGGACATAAAGAGAAAGAAATATTGTGCGGCGTTCGGGTGTTTAAATTCGAAAAGTAATCTACCGGATTTATCTTTTTTTTTTCGCTTCCCAAAGGTTGGCCATGTAGGTAATCAATAATTCTTAGGATAGTATAGGAACCTAACCTACTATGAAGGTTTTCCATAATGAATGCATACTTACCTTCATACATACGTCATTACAAATAAGTAGATTATTTTTTTTTTCACTAGACAGCAACCCTAACAGCGTAAGAAGAGTTCAGAGGCACGCGTTAGAAAGAGACAAAACTTGTAGGTGAATAAAATTGTAGGTACGTAGTACTGTGCGAGCTGAATTCCACTGTATCGCGTCGTAGCAAGACTCGCATTTATTTAAATCGTCTTGCGGAGTAATCCTTCTGTACCTGTACTATTACTTATTCTGTGGTTCTGACGTGCCAAATCAGCCTGATGTCGTTGCACTAGCTGCAAAAAAAGGCGTACATTTTAGTCCACCTAAATGAAAACGAAATTATCTTATAGGTGTTACCTATGCATACCGAAAATGCTTGGCATGCGGTAAAAAATATGTAGTAATTGTGCCTAATGTTTACCCTACGTCAAAATTTTTTTTTGTGCATGTAATGTATGTGTAATTTATTTTTATTTTATTCATTATGTTCACTATATTTAGGAAGGAGTATAGTTTTTCTTGCTTTGATTAAAATTTACAAGTTATATAGGTATTATTGAGCTCTAGTATAATTTCAATGAAATTAGGGGTCAAAAAAGTTTTAGCCATATTTAAATAAATAATATACATTCATTCCTCACAATTTATACGTATGTTTATTTGTAATACTGTAATATTCTCAAAAAGTATAAAACCAATATACTTTTATACAAAAAAATGAGTATTTTTTGAGTAAACAGTATAGCGGTCCCACAGACCGCACGTCGCAGACGGCGTGACAAAAAAATCACGTCGTCGGTTAAAGGTTAAACAGACGAATCAATTTCCAAAGATGGCGGATTGAAATTTATTTAACCTCTCAAACGCCCGGAATCTAATTTAATATCCGTTTATGCAACACTATCCGAAATAGATTGGAGATTAACATAACAATCTAAATTTTAATGTTTGAACCCATAACACATTAAAATCAAGTTTCGTTAAACTAATCCAGTGAAATGTTGTTTGGTATAATAATCCGTCGTATAGAAAGTAATAATAGAGGATTAAAATTAAATATAATGAGGTTTAATGAGAAATTATAGTTTAATTTTTACTAGATATTCGTTTTAAATAATAATTATGTATAAAACCGTGTTTTGTATACATATAAAAACTGTTTTTTAATTCATTCAAATTTTGCGTTAATTTTAGGACACCGTTTAGTTGGACACCATTTTTATCATCAATTCCTAATTTTTAAGTGACCCCTATGAAAAAAAAATCCTGTTATGTGTTACCATAGGGGTCACTTAAAAATTAGGAATTGATGGTGAAAACGGGCATTAGTATCCATGACATTGAAAGGTAAGTACTATCAATACTTGGTTATTAGTTTCGATTTTTGTCACCCAAAAAAACTCATAAAACTAATTTTTTATCCAAGTAGGCTTCTAAAAAGCACTTTTACACGTCCCAATATTAACCCGACCACTGCTTCAGGACAATAAATGGGCCAGTGCTGAGAAGAAGCAGCTTGCCGTTTCAGAAGCAGTGGACTTTATACAGAGATTTTCTGTGTACCTATGTCACGTTTTTTCAGGCGATCTTGAGCTTCATGCTGATAATTTTATTTTAAATTTATTTCTCGTAATGAATTAGGGGTTAATTACTCCATTTAATAGCACAGTCGAAGCATGAGTCAATTAACACTGTTTGTTTTCCGAATAAAGTTAAATAAAATAAAAATAAAATAGGTAATTCATATGCAGAATATAGGCTGTAACTGGAAATCATTATACAACGAGAATTTAATAATCACTGAAACGGCACCAGCAATAAATCATAATAATTAATATTATTAATTATGAACTTAAATCAAAAATACTTATTTTTATTATGAAACAGTGTGTTATTAAAAAAAGCTTTAACTTGCTATCAAAGTCTCTTAACAATAGTAGCTATTAACAATAGTTATTTGTGTAAATTAGTAGTTAGATATTTTAACTACTGCCTACTGTGTGCCTACTTCAACTAAAACCATTGCACGTCATGTACAAATAACGGCGTATCAAGCTCAACACTATGGCATCTTATGCAATTGAAATAAATTATGTACTGTTTTGAAACATAAGCGGGGACATCCCGTTTTTTGCAAGTACTGTATTTTGCAGGAACCCGTTTGGTAGTACACGTATTAGTTTTAATATTAACGTTTACACCAATATCCCGTTTGCAGTGTCCCGCAAAAATCCGGAACTTTCGAATTTGTAATTGAAATTTCAAACTTACGTGTATTCAAATGACAGTTGAGTCTTGTCCTGCATTTCTGGATCCCGCAAAACTGGATTCCCATACAAAATCAAGACTGTGGCATTTTATGCAGTTGAATTAACTGTTATTTTGCTACAAAATACTACTTATACAGGGTGTTAGGTAAATGGTTATATGGGCCGACACTAGCCCATGTTAACATGGGCATATAAATGGTATGGTGAAGTCAAAAAATTGGGCTAGTGTCGGCTCATATACCCATTTACCTAACACCCTGTATTCATTTGACTGTACAGTCAGTACCTACAGTTTAATTTTAAACAATTTCATCACCATGAGAAACTAAAGCGTAACCACTTGAACTCGATAACATTTAACTAGTTCACTGACCCTAAACTTATCAGCACATTTTAATACGTATCAATTAGTTAACCAAAAACTAATTAAATACAAAATCAAAGGTTACCGTTCTTATCAGCGGCACAGCTGACTGAAAATTAAAAAGTTAATGGTGTGATAAGATAAAATAAAACATAAGTAAACCCATTGGTTTGAATCCAAGAGTTTAAAAGATAAACTTTATGATCAGGAGAGTGTTGGAAATAAAAAGTTAAACTAATTTAAACCACGTTTGATTGGTCGGAAGCTCCATCGTCTAATACGTTTTGAACTTTATCTACTTAAAATAATTAAGTTAT